ATTTGGTACAACCTTTCAGGGAGCTAATATGGCCATAACATCAAATTCCCCTACAAGTTCACATTTCCTTTGTCCTTGTAGTTCTGCCTCTAGAAAATCCGCTAAAGTGTGGGAGGGGGGAGTGGGGGTGGGAAGCATGCGTTGCTAAAAAAAGGAATAGTTACAAGGATGTTCAGAGCAGCAATATTTATAATGGCAAAAAAATTGGTAGCAATCTATATATCTAGTAGCAGGGGATTGAGTAACTAGATCATGGAATTGCCTCTAACAGAACAGGTTGGAAGCTATTAGTGAGTCTTGAAAGCAAAGTGACTTGCCGTCAGCACTTGAAAAAATAAAAGTAAGTTTTGCTTCATAAGACATTTTCATTTCGTGTTTGTATGCGTGTGTGTCATGAGGTTAAATGAATTTCTTACTCTGAGTCATGGTCTAAATTTTGAGAAACTCTGCAGTGTTGAAAAAAGATGTGTATAAAATTACTTAATGACACAAAAAGTATTCAAAATATAAGTTACAAAATAGCACACATATGTTACAAAATGATCCAATTTCGTGAAAATCCAAAATAAGTAAATCTATATAAAAAGTGGAAAATACACCAAACATATCATTTATACTTCTTATATCTATATTTTAGAATTTTCTACAATGAACATGTCTTTTTAAAAACTTTTTTTATTGAAGTATTGATAGTTTTTTTTTTTTTAACATTTTATTTATTTGGTTGGTTGGGCCGGGTCTTAGTTGTGGCAAGGGAGCTCCTTAGTTGCGGCTCGCCAGCTTCTTAGTTATGGCACGCAAACTCTTAGTTGCGGCATGCACGTGGGAGCTCTTTCCCTGACCAGGGATTGAACCTGGGCCTCCTGCACTGGGAGCGTGGAGCCTTAACCAATGTGCCACCAGGGAAGTCCCGATAGGTTTTTTTTTTTTTTTTTTAATATTTATTTGGGGCTTCCCTGGTCGCACAGTGGTTGAGAATCCGCCTGCCAATGCAGGGAACACGGGTTAGATCCCTGGTCGGGGAAGATACCACATGCTGCAGAGCAACTAAGCCTGTGCACCACAACTACTGAGCCTGCATGCCGCAACTCCCAAAACCCGCGTGCCTAGAGCCCATGCTCTGCAGCAAGAGAAGCCACCTCAATGAGAAGCCCGCGCACCACAACAGAGTAGCCCCTGCACACCGCAACTAGAGAAAGCCTGCGTGCAGCAACAAAGACCCAACTCAGCCAAAAATAAATAAATAAATTTAAAAAAATATATATTTATTTGGCTGCAGTAGGGTCTTCATTGCAGTGCATCGGTTCTTCGTTGTGGTGCACAGGCTTCTCTAGTTGTGGCACATGGACTCTCTAGTTGTGGCGAGTGGGTTCTAGAGTGCACAGGCTTAGTTGACCCGCAGCATGTGGGATCTTAGTTCCCCGACCAGGTATTGAACCCGCAATGTCCCCTGCATTGGAAGGTGGATTCTTAACCACTGGACCACTAGGGAAGTCCCTAAAGTATAGTTGATAGTTGATTTACAATGTTGTGTTAATTTCTGCTGTACAGCAAAGTGACTCAGTTATACACATATATACATTCTTTTTTATATTCTTTTCCATTATGGTTTATCCCAGGATATTGAATATAGTTCCCTGTGCTATACAGTGGGATCTTGTTGTTTATCCATTCTGTATGTAATAGTTTGCATCTACTAACCCCAAACTCCCAGTCCATCCCTCTCCCACCCCCGCTTCCCCTTGGCAACCACAAGTCTGTTACATCTGTGAGTCTGTTTCTGTTCAACTTATTTCTTGAATAATAATGATAGTAGTTTTTAAAGTTTTCTAAATAATTATGTATTATATATCATTTTCTCAACTATGTTAAATATATATACATAGCTTGGTGGTGCAGTGGTTAAGAATCCACCTGCCAATGCAGGGGACATGGGCTCGAGCCCTGGTCTGGGAAGATCCCACATGCCGTGGAGCAACTAAGCCAGTGAGCCACAACTACTGAGCCTGCACTCTAGAGCTCGCGAGCCACAACTACTGAAGCCCGCATGCTGTAACTACTGAAGCCCGTGCTCTTAGAGCCTGTGCTCCGCAACAAGAGAAGCCACCACAATGAGAAGCCTGTGCACCGCAATGAGAAGCCTGTGCACCCCTGCTCACTGCAACTAGAGAAAGCCCACATGTAGCAACAAAGACCCAAAGCAGCCAAAAATAAATAAAATTGTTTTAAAAATCATTAAAAAAAAAGAGAGAGAATAGAAACTTGCCAGAATGCTAGCAGTGGTTTTGTGTGGCAGGATTATGGGAATTTTTAAATGTTTTAGAAAATTTAGAAATGTTTCTAAAATGAACATGCTTTTCTTTTATTATAAAAATTTTTAAGGACTTACCTGGTGGTCCAGTCGTTAAGACTTCTGCTGCAGGGGGCACGGGTTTGATACCTGGTGGGGGAACTAAGATCTCACATGCTGCGTGATGTGGCTGAAAAATTAAAAAACAAAAATCCTGTCTAGTTCTGATGGGGTCTGCCTGCTGCTTATTTTATCCCACCACTGGACCCAGGCCAGGCCAGGAGAGCAGGGCAGACACCCTTGCCTCTGCCCAGGCCTGCACCCTCTTTATTTCCCCACCCTGATATGACCCTGTGGCCCTGGTGGTTTTTCTTCACATCTTATCTTGAAACTTGAGTTGCCTTATCTTGGGCAAACTTACTGATGAATAGTGACACTCCGCAGGTCAATGCTGAGATGGAAGAATGTAAATAAGGAGGGTTACACTATAAATAATGGGCATAACTCATTTGTGTACCATCAAGCTTCACTGGGGCCATGTTGTGTGTGCTCATGCAGAATCTCACCAGTTTACAGATGAGGAAATATGCTCAGAGAGCCCCCATGCATGAACCTGTCTGTGTTCCTGTGTAGGCATTCATGAAGTTTGCATATTCCAATCCATTGCCAAGTTCTGTTAAATATTACCGCCTAAATAGCTCTCCAGTGTGTCCACTTCTCACTATCACCAGCGCTACCTCCCCCCGTCAAGCCCTACAGCAAATGGCCTCCCAACTGACCTCCAGGACTTCTGTGCCCTCTGATCCTCTCTGTATTCAAGAGCTAAGGCGATATTTTGGAAATTTAAATCTGAACTCGTCGGTCTACCCAACCACCCTTGCTTAAGATTTTGCAGTTATTCCCAACGCTCTTAGGATAGAGACAAAACTCCTTAACATGGTTGACAGGGCCCTATGTAGATACCTCCACCCTGTCTGCCTCATGGCTCGCTTTTGCTTCCCTCATCTCTTTGTTCCATCTCCATTGACCTTCTCTAGTCCCTTGTATTCACCCTCTTCCTCCTGTCACAGGGCCTTTGCATATGCTGTGCCTTCTGCCAATTCCACTCTTGCTGGCTCCTGTACCTAGTTAACTCCTACTATATCTCCTCTTACCTTTTCTTCAGATCATTAAATACAGTTGTAGTTTTACATTTATTTGATTAGTTGGTTAATGTTTGTTTATTTTTACACTAGACTGTAAGTTCCATGAAAACAGAGACTGTGTCTTTTTTGGATCACCAATCCCCAGTACTGAGTATAATACTTGACCTACAAGAAGAGCTCATAAAATCTTTGTTAAATGAATGAGTTAATGAATGAACAGAACCCATAGACTCTTCTGATCTGGTTCCTTTTCTTGAAAGGGCTCCCAAACGCTTCAGAAGACAGAAACAGAAGAGGGAGGAAACAGCCATAATAATGCCTATCACAGAATGTAACAGGTCATCAAGGTAAGAGCTGAGTCTACAGGCTGTATTTTAGAGGCCTCCCTACCCCCTTCTTATTGCCACCTTCTTCCAAAGAGGACCAGGAAGGAAGCCACTGCAGAGAAATTCCAGGGCCAGCCTTTGACGGACAGAGCCTCACCAGGAAGGCAGGGGGGATGAGAAGGCAAAGAAAGGAAGGGAAGGGATGTCTGTTGAGAAGGGACTCTGTTTTGGATATCAGGCTGAATGTTTACATACATCATCTCATTTAATCCTCTCCAAAACCCCATTTTGCAGATGAGAAAACAGACTCAGGTTGTGAAACTTGAGGGTTATTAAACCAATGCAGGGCAAAGCTGGGTTGGAACTGGAGTCTGTCAGCCTTCCTCTAAAGCCTGGGCTTTTCCAGGCTACCATCCTGGCCTCCAGGCTTCAAACATCTCCCTCACCCTGTTAACTTAGGGCCTAAAATTTCATCATTAAAGACTCATCCGTTGGCCTGTGTCTAACACTGTCTTTTAGGAGTCAGTGTATGAAGTTGATACTTTGGAAACAGAAACTCAGCATCATAAAGGCAACCACTACAAGACCTAAAAAGAAATACATAAAAGAAAAAAAAATACATAAACAAAAATTAGAATGTGCAAAGGAAAGGGGATGAGAGAGCATGAGTGAGGGAGTTAAATCTCTCATCGTTCATACTGAGGAGAGAAGAGATACTGTCTAAAATGGACAAATTTATGATATTACACAAAGGGATAATGGAGATCTCAGGAGAACTAAAAGCAGAAGCTGCTGGTTGGGTTCCCTCTAGGGAGTGGAACTGGGGGGAAGAGAGACACTCATTTTTCATTTGTCCTGAGCTGTTCATTAAAAAAAAAAAATTATAGTAGTATTCTATTGTGTAACCTTTCTAAAAAGTTTTGAAATTTTTGTTACAAAAGACTAAACAAACAAAAACACCCTTCCTTTATTTATTTATTTTGTAATTTATTTATTTTTGGCTGCATTGTGTCTTCGTTGCTGTGTGCAGGCTTTCTCTAGTTGCGGCGAGCAGCAGCTACTCTTTGTTGCAGTGTGTGGACTTATTGCAGTGGCTTCTCTTGTTGTGGAGCATGGGCTCTAGGCAAGCGAGCTTCAGTAGTTGTGACACACGGGCTCAGTAGTTGTGGCACACGGGCTTAGTTGCTCTGCGGCATGTGGGATCTTCCCAGACCAGGGCTCAAACCCGTGTCCCCTGCCTTGGCAGGCGGATTCTTAACCACTGCACCACCAGGGAAGTCCAAAAACACCCTTCCTTTAGAATGCAGGTAGGCCTAGAAGTAATAGTCCTTGACACCTGGGTAAATGTTAGGTCTGCAGGGTTCCTCTGCATCAGGAAGGACGTGAGTCGGGGGAGGGTCATGTGATGATAAACATGGCTTCCTAAGCAGTTGCCCCTGGGGAATGGGCTTGGGAGACAAGCTCGCCTTTGCAAACACAGGGCCAGGGTAGTGCCTCTTCTCTCACATTCCTAAAGGCAGCTCATACTCAGACACAAGAGGATACTGACCCCATTAGGGCCAGAGATAACTACCCCTCTAATTATCCCTGAGGCGACTCTGCCATCAGCAGCACCACTCTCTGAGCAGGAGCCCTTGCCAGCCAGGGACCCCACTGCAGCAGGATCCATGTGACCGCAGCTTCTGGGGGCCCAGGTGGATCTAGGCCAGGAAAGTGGGACGCTGAGGGCTCTCAGGTAAGTATGACTCAGGTCAGAGCCCCGCACGCCTCAGGACCCAAGGGCCTCTTCCTCCTCTGGAGGCATGGCATCCTCTTGACCTTTGCTTGGTATATCACTCCGTCCCAGCGGCTGCAGAAAGGGAGCCCGGGGCACGGCTCAGGAGTGCCACTCACCAGCAGCCAGGAGCCAAAAGACTGGCATTCCTAGCACTAGACAAAGGCCTATTGATCTTTGACCCCCACCACTCCAGGAGCCTTGGCCCTCCCTCCTGCCTGCCTTCCTTTCTTCCCTGCTGGCCTCGCCCTCTGTTCTGTCTCCTCATTCCCTGGCTCTCTTGCTCTGACTGGCAGTTTTTCCCAGCTCCTTGACCAAACCAATCCTTCCATGCTGTCTTCAAGCCCTGCCTCCTGCACATCTCCCAACCCAAACAAGGAGAATCCAAGAAAGAAGGTCCAGTGGGCTTCTGGGAGGAGGAGGACGTCATCCACAGACTCAAAGTCCCAGTCCGACCCCTCCAAAGCGTCCAGGTCCCGGAAGCTCAGCCGGCTGACAGTGAAGTATGACCGGGGGCAGCTCCAGAGCTGGCTGGAGATGGAGCAGTGGGTGGACGCCCAGGTTCAGGATCTCTTCCAGGTGGGTAAGACACCGCGGGCCAGGGGACTGGGAGAGAGCCTGCTCTGAGGCCTCAGGAGGAGCTGGAGGGCAGATGAGAGATGCTCCCATGGAGACAAAGTTTTTCCCCACAGGTGAATCATGGGTTTGCAGTCCTGAAATCTGCCTCCCTCTGGTCTGGGCTCTGCCTCTCACTCTCTACATAATCTGGAGCAGGTCTTTTAACATCCCTGAGACTTAGTTTCCTAATCTATAAAACGGGGCTATCAGTGCCTGTCGTATCCCTTTCGTAGGACTTTTTGAGGCTCAGATGAGATAGTAGAGGAGTTATTTTTCTTTATTTTATGTCTTTATTTACTTTCAACCTCAACACACATACACGACTAGAGCGACATTGTTCATTCCTGTAGCTGTCAGCCATGTGTAGCTCTTTAACTTTAAACTGATGAAAATTAAAAGTTCAGTTCTTCAGTCACACTAGCCACATTTCAAGTGCCCCATACATCCAGATGGCTAGTGGCTACCAAGTTGCCAGCACAGATACAGAACATTTCCATCATCTCAGAACAGATAGTGCTGGACTAGAAGGTCAAAGTGATCAATAGTGAACGCTAATACCAGCGCCTGACCTAGCCTTGGCCCTGGCTCTGACTGACTCCCCTCAACCCCACCCTGGGAGAGTAGCCCTTTTTTTTTTTTACCTAGATACCTACTAATTGGGATCCTAGTGTAGTAACAAATGCTGCTCCAACAACAAGAATAACATTTGGAGCACTTAACTCTGCACTAGGCACAGTGCCCAGCACCTGACTTGTGTTATTTCATTCAGCCCTCCCCACAAGTCCATTAGGTAGGTATGGTTTACCGTGGAGGAAATGGAGGCTTAGAAATGTTGAGTAACTAGCCCAAGGTCACACCACTAGGGAGCCCAGGGACCAGGAGCTGCAGCTGGGGCTCTGCCTGTAGTGCCTGAGCATTTATTCAAGCTGCTAGTGGTTCTCCACACCTGAAGTACATCAGTAATAATCCGATGCCCCAGCTGCATTTCAACTGAATTTCAGTCTACTAGGGTGGGGCCCAGGCACTGGTCTTTTTCATAAGCTCCACTGCTGATTGTAGCGTGTGGCTGGCGAGAACCACGCACCAAGCCGGAGACCAGAGTCCTCCTTGTCCACATGCCATGGTCCTTGTTTCTCTCCTTCCTTACTCAGGTCCTGTCTTTTCTTTTGGGGGCAGCAAGGGCTTGTGATTCTTCCAGGTAAGGGCTGTGTCAGTGGTCCTGTGGTTGGGGGAGGGGAAGAGTGATGCATGTGGCCCAGGCTGTCTTGTGAGTCTCACTGTGTCATGTGTTGGTTTGGTCCAGGTGTTGACGGTGTCCCTGGCAGCATCCTGGGCCACTCGCAGAGGGGAGAGAGATGCCCTAGAACTGGGAACAGGAGAGGCAAACTTTCTTTGCCTATGTGTACTCTCGCCTTGCAGGACATCTCCGCTGCCCTTCATTCCTGCCAGCACCCTCCCTCTCTGGATCAGTTTCAATTTCAGACTGTTGTGCCCTTACATAAAAAGTCTCATATCTCACACACCTCAGGGCAAAGATCAAGGCAGGGGAAAAGCTGTAAAATAATGAACTCATAACATTGGAAAACAGGACATGTGGGAGGACTGCTCCCAGGCAATGACTGTAATAAAATAACCTGGTCTACAGTTGTCATGACAATTGTCCAAAGGTGCCAGGTGGCAGTTCCTCTTCTAATCTCTGTCCTTTTCAGCAGGAAGCAGGCAAGTGGCTGGGGAAGCCTCAGGTGGCTGGTCATCTTGGGCAGAGGTTGAGGCAACCCAGTCTCCAGGCTTACCCTGCCTCAGTTATTCCTGCATAGAGCCCCTCTCCACCCACTGGGACTCCCCACCACATGCCCACCTTGGGTAGCACCACTGGGAATGGTTCCAGGAGTGGGTTGCGTCACTATTTGTTTAGTTTAGTTTAGTGGAACCCAACCTTCCTTTGTTGGAGGACCCCACCTCTTCTCACTGGGTGTGCAGCCTGCTTTAGGGTCTTGTGAAAAGCCAAGTCTGGGTTCAACAAAACAAACTGACTTGGGGGCCTGGAGTTCCTGTTGTCCAGAAATGGAGTGTGGATTTGGCTTCTAAGCAGGGACTTAAACACTCATGAGTTTCTCCTATTTTAAGGAGACTCTTGTTTAACAATATGCCCCCCTTTTGTTACCATCCCCTATTTCCTGTCTCTTTTACAAGGCTCCTTAAAGGATTTGTACCAACTCAGAGGCTTTACTTACTTTTCCCTTTCCTATCGCCATTCAAACCACTGGATTCTGACTTCTGTTCCCACCACTCTATTGAGACCTCTTGGCACAGTCCCCAGTCACCACCTCGGGGCCAAATCTAGTCTACACATCAGCAGGGGACACTGTTGGCCACCCCAGAGTTTCCTGTAGTTTACATGATACCATGCGTTTTGATGCAGCCCTTTTGATGTGATGGCATTTTAAGAAACAATCTATTAAACTTACAACTTTAAAAATGTATTATCAGGAATTCCCTGGCAGTCCAGTGGTTAGGACTCGGAGCTTTCACTGCCATGGGCCCAGGGTCGATCCCTGGTCAGGGAACAAAGATCCTGCAAGCAGTGAGGCCAAAGGAAAAAAAAAAAACAGTATATATATATGTGTGTGTGTGTGTGTGTATATATATATATATATATGGTCAATGAAATGTGAAACAAACATTTGTTAGCTCATCTCTGAACTTCACTCGATTACTGGTTTCTATGGCAGAGAGATCAGGAGTAAGTGGACAGAGTATGGAGTGGAGCAGAGAATGGGGTCAAATCAGGCAGCATCTGTCAGGAAACCACCACATGTAATACAGAGTCACAATATGACCATACTTGTTCACCTCGGTCAGAGTTGTTTGATATATCTGCTCATTTTCTGAGAATTCAAAAAATATTTGAGGGAAAGAATATTTTGGATTATGATTTGAGCCCATATTCTCAATACCAGACTGCAGTGACAATCTGACTCTCAGTGATACACATACCCTATGTTCAATATACGTATAGTTAATGTCATAAATGATATAAAATGGTTTTGGGAGCAGGACTAATCCTTTTTTAGAGGTGGAATTCTAATCATTAGTATGTATTTTTATCATTTGGCCCCAGCATCCACCTTCTGGGATTCCAGTTACATGTATGTTAGACCACTTGATATGGTCCTACAGATCACCAAAGCCCTATGCTGTTCTTTTCTTTTCTACCAGTTTTTTTCTCTCCATGCTTCATTTTGGCTAGTTTCTTTTGCTATTTCCTCAAGTTTAAATGGTATTTTTTTTCTGTAGTGTCAAATATGCTGTTAATTCCATTAAGTATAATTTTTCTTTAAAATATTTTATTTTTCATCTCTAGATGCTTCACTTTGTTCTTTCTCATGTCTTCCATTTCTCTCATTACTATGTTCATGTTTTCCTCATTTGCTAATTCCATCATCTCTGTCATATCTGATCTGCTTCTATTAATTGATTTTTTCTCCTGCTTATAGGTCACATGTCCTGCTTCTTGGCATGATTAGTGATTTTTTTATAGATTTGTTTTTAATTAATTAATTTATTTATTTATTTATTGGCTGCACTGGGTCTTCTGTTGCTTTGCGCGTGCTTTCTCTAGTTGCAGCGAGTGGGGCCTACTCTTCGTTGCAGTGTGCAGGCTTCTCATTGTGGTGGCTTCTCTTGTTGCAGAGCACAGGCTCTAGGTGTGCAGGCTTCAGTAGTTGTGGCACACGGGCTTCAGTAGTTGTGGCTTGCGGGCTCTAGAGCGCAGGCACAGTAGTTGTGACGCACGGGCTTCGTTGCTCCACGGCATGTGGGATCTTCCTGGACCAGGGATCGAACCCGTGTCCCCTGCATTGGCAGGCGGATTCTTAACCACTGCGCCACCAGGGAAGCCCTGTGACTAGTGATTTTTTTTTTTTTTTTTTTTGCGGTACGCGGGCCTCTCACTGTTGTGGCCTCTCCCGTTGCGGAGCACAGGCTCCGGACGCGCAGGCTCAGCGGACATGGTTCACGGGCCCACCCGCTCCGCGGCATGTGGGATTTTCCGGGACCGGGGCACGAACCCGCATCCCCTGCATCGGCAGGCGGACTCTCAACCACTGCGCCACCAGGGAAGCCCTGACTCGTGATTTTTGATTGGATGCTGGACATTGTGAATTTTACGTTGTTGGATTTTTTTTCTTCCTTTAGAGTGTTGGACTTTGTTCTACGATGCAGTTTAGCTACTTGTGGTTCAGTTTGATCCTTCTGAAGCTAGTTTTTAAGTTCTGTTGGGGTGAGTATAGAGTGGCCTTTAATCTAGGAAATAATTTACCCCCCAAGTAAAGCAGGGCCCTCCTGAGGCCTCTCCTGAATTCCTGTATGATCGGTGATGACTGTCCACTCTGACTGAGTGGAAATTGATTTGTGTCAGTCCTCTGTGAGGTCTGGGAAGTGTTCATCTCTGTGCCCACAGTGCCTCAGAGTACCTGGCTTTGTGAAGTTTTACCCTGTGAATGTGTATCTTGTGTTCAGCAAAGACTCAGAAGAACCCTTATGTAGATTTCTGGAGGTCTCTTTCTTCATAACTCCCTCCTCTGCAGAACTCTGGCAACTTCCAGCCACCTCAAATCCAAATTATGGTATCTGTCATATCAATTTAGTATGACCACTGTGCTCTGCTTGGGATCTCCCTTTCATTTCGTTTCTTTCCCAGGTAGTGCTGAGTTACCTGTTAAGTCTGAAAACACTTTTCATATATTTTTGTCCGGTTTTCTAGTTACTTATGTTGAGAGAATAAATCCAGTCCCTGTTACTCCATCATCAGAAGTGTAAACATCTTGTTAACTCCTATTCAGCCTTCAGGTCTGAGATTAGAGGTCACCTCTTCCTGGAAGCCTTCCTAAACCCCAGGCTTGGTTAGGTTCCCCTTCCATGTGCTATCACAGTGTCTCATCAGAGTGCTTATTGCCCTGTATTATAACTGCCATTTGACTTGTCTGTATCCCTCAGGAGACTATAAGCTTTTCAAGGGTAAGATCATGTCTGTCTGTCTTTGCTGTTATGGCCCCATCACAATGCTTGGTGCATAGCATGCTCTCAATAAATATGCATTTAATGAATGAATGCTAAATCAGATGCGCTAGAAACCAAGGAAGCAAAGGGGAAAGTCTAGAGTTTAGGGTGAAAGAAGTAACTTAGAACCCTAGCACTGTTTATTTTTAAAATGGTATAGAAGGACCAAAACTGTTAACAGTGGTTACCCATTGGCAGTGGAAGGAATGAGAGGGTGAGGCATCTTTTCTCTTTCTTTCTTTTCTTTTTTTTAAAAAATATTTTTTAATTAATTAATTAATTTATGGCTGCGTTGGGTCTTTGTTGCTGTGTGTGGGCTTTCATTGCAGTGGCTTCTTTCTTCGCAGAGCACAGGCTCCAGGTGCATGGGCCGCAGTAGTTGTGGCTCGCGGGCTCTAGAGCGCAGGCTCAGTGGCCATGGCTCACGGGCCTAGCCGCTCCGTGGCACGTGGGATCTTCCCAGACTGGGGCACGAACCCGTATCCTCTGCATTGGCAGGCAGATTCTTAACCATTGAGCCACCAGGGAAGCCCTTTCTTTCTTTTCTAAATCAACTTTACTGAAGTCTAATGGCAGACAACAAGATTTGCCTGTTTTTGAAGTGTACATTTGAATGCACTCTGCCATATATAACCACTACCCCATCAAGATATGGAACATTTCCACCATCCAAAATGTTCTTCAAAAAGCACTTACAGGGCTTCCCTGGTGGCACAGTGGTTGAGAGTGCTTCGCAACGGGAGAGGCCACAACAGTGAGAGGCCCGCGTACCACAAAAAAAAAAAGAAAAAAAAAAGCACTTACTTGTTTTTGTTTTTTTTTAAACAGAGAGGGAATTTTTTTTAAAACAAGTTTATTTTATTATTTGTTATTTATTATTATTTATTTATTTGGCCATACCGTGTGGCATGTGGGATCTTAGTTTACCAACCATGGATCAAGCCTGTGTGCCCTGCAATGGAAGCATGGTGTCTTAACCACTGGACTGCCAGGAAGTCCCAGCACTTACTTTAAAAAAAAAATTAATTAATTAACTTATTTTGGCTACATTGGGTCTTTGTTGCTGCACATGGACTTTCGCTAGTTGTGGTGAGCGGGGGCTACTCTTTGTTGTGGTGCACGGGCTTCTCACTGCGGTGGCTTCTCTTGTTGCAGAGCACAGGCTCTAGGCACGCAGGCTTCAATAGTTGTGACGCACGGGCTCAATAGTTGTGGATCGTGGGCTCTAGAGCACAGGCTCAGTAGTTGTGGCTCACGGGCTTAGTTGCTCCGTGGCATGTGGGATCTTCCTGGACCAGGGCTCGAACCTGTGTCCCCTGCATTGGCAGGCGGATTCTTAACCACTGCATCACCAGGGATGACCCTTATTTTGGAACATTTTATAATCTGTAACAGAAACCCTGTACCCGCTAGTGGTCACACCCCATTCCCTACCACCACCACTCCCAGCATTAGGCAACCACTAATCCACTTTGTGTCTCTATAGATTTACCTATTCTGGACATTTCATACAAATTGAATCATATAATATGAAGCCTTTTGTAACTGGCTCCTTTCACTTACATGTTTTCAAGGTTAGTCCATGTTGTGGCATGAATCACTACTTTGTTCCTTCTTATTGCTGAAAAATATTGTATGGCTACATCATATTTTATTTATCCATTCACCAGTTGATGGACATTTGAATATGAATAATGCTGCTGTGAACATTCATATGGACATACGTGGATGTCTGTTTTCACTTCTCTTGGGAATAGACCTAGGAGTGGAATTGTTGGGTCAGATGATAACTCTGTATTTAACATTTTAAGGAACTGCCAAATTATTCTCCAAAGCATCTGCACCATTTTGCATCCCTACTAACAATGTTTATAACTATTGAAATTAAACAGATACTCTTTTTAAAGAACCCTAGACTGTTTCAGGTAGACCATAGTAGTTATTCAGTAACTGTTGAATAAAAGGATGAATGGGGTGGTTTGAGTAAGGTGAGGAGAGGAACTGAACATGGGAAATAGAGTGGGAGATGGGTGAACCCGACAGTTAACTGTCACCCCAGCACCAGCTAGCCAGGCTCCTCTGAGCCCCGTGTGATTCCCAAACAGGATCAACCAACTCCTTCTGAGCCTGAGATCGACCTGGAGGCTCTCATGGAACTATCCACAGAGGAGCAGAAGACTCAGTTGGAGGTAGAATGGGGGGCCAGGCCCCAGGCCCAGGGGTTGGGGGATGGAAGCTGGGCTTGGACCAAGGGGAAGCCAAGAACCCAGGTTCTGCCTCCCCATCTGTGTGTGGAGAACCAATTCAGAGGGGAGAATTCCTGGGAGACTGATTGGGGACTCGTGACAAAGTGCTGTGGCTCGGGGACCCACTCTCTGCTTTCTTCCACCAGGCTATTCTCCAAAACTGCCCCCGCCCCACAGAGGTAAGGGATGCTCTGTTAGTCTGGGGGTAAGAGGAGGCCCAGCGGGATGGCAGCTAGCGAAGAGGAAAGCTTGGTCCTGGGGCCTTCTCCCCTTCCCTGACTCTGAAGCGATGGGGTCAGGTGGAGACTAGGGAGAGCAGTGTGGTGGGTGGGTGTGACCCCATGCCTTGATCTCACCCGTGTTTCTTTCTCAGCCTTTTATCTCTGAGCTGCTCAGTCAACTCAAGAAATTTCGGAGACTCAGTCGGCCTCAGAAATAAGCCTTGTGAGACTACCTTCATCAGCTTCAGCACTGCCAGGTCTGCCCTGAACCCCTGGATCCTGGGCTGAGAGGGAAACAGCTCCTTGGGACACAGACAAGGAACATGGAGAGTGAGGAGGGACATTTGGACAGCCCCGTCTATGTGCAGTCACAGCTAATTCCTGTCAGCTGGGCTTTCTGGGAGCCAGTCATGGCTATGGCCCAGTGCTTTCCTCGGCAGCCGAGTGAATAAAACCTTGAGGAGCCCCAGCTGAATGGAGTGTGGAGCATATCTGTGCTGAGGGATGGAGGAGGGAGGGATTGAAGTGTTATACCATAAGGCCAGCATCCTGAGTCACTAGGCTGCATCCACATGCCTCACCCATCTGTCCATCTATCCATCCATCCACCCAGGGCTTGAGAATTCAAAGATAAAGGTCACAGTTCTGCATCAGAGAAATTACCATCAAGCAAGGCCTGGAGGCCAAGCAGAAGGCACCTGGCTAAGAGACACAGCATCCTGACATCACCAATAGGAACCCAAGTGGCAAAGACCCATAGGAGAGGTAACAGGAAGAAAACTAGCTGGGTTTGGGGGCCTCAGGGAAAGCTAAACCCTCTTCCCTCACTAAATGATTCAGGAGACCTCAGGCTGAGGACTCTTTCTCGAACCAGCTCCAAGCCAGAGGCAGAAAGAGAAAAAGCAGGGGCTAAGCAGAGGGGTATAAAGGGTATAGGCTCAGAGGCCAGGAATCAGGTCAGAAGGAAGTTGGTGGGAACAGACACTGGGTCTGAATGGCATGTGGGTTGGGACAGGAGCCCTGGAGGTGGCATCCTTTAGGAGTAAGGCAGGAAGCAGGGTATGCATTCACTGCTCGTGCATGCAGTGTTTGAGTATGGTGGGGCCTGGGGGCTAAGCTGGGCTGCCCAGAGCAGGATGCACAGTTCAGTTCAGTTCAGTAGTATGAATATTCATGCCTACTGCGTATGAGGCCACCAGGATGGGTGGGACTGTTCCTGCCTGCAGAAGCTTGCAGGACGGCTCAAGCCTTTTCCTCACTCTACAGGACTGGACTTACAGCCTACTCTGCTCTTGCCACCTCTCCAAGGCCTAGGCTCAGGGCCCACAGGGTTCTATAGATAAAAGATGCTGGGTCCAATGAATCAACATACTTTATTAAATGCTCTAAGTGCCAGTAGAGGGCCCTGGACCCTTAAGCAAGTTTCAGGACTCCTCCTTGGATTCAGGCTGGTCTTTCCCATCATGCCTCTCACTCCTAGTCCAGACTTCAATGCTGGAGGCTCCAGACTTCTGCCTTCCCTCTGGCTCCTCCAGTCATCGTCTCCAATGGAGAATCCTTCCTCCTTCCAGGGACGGAGGCTCAGGAAAGAGCGCATTCATAAGCAGTCTAGCCTGACATGTTCTCCCATCAGATGCCCTGGAGGGCACCCCAGCTTGTGTGACTGCCTGTAGGATGGCCTTCCCGGGAGGACCAGGGTTCCCTCAGTGCTCTCGGCTTTTATGCTGGGGGTGGTAGGCAGATGTCTGGTGCTCTTTAAGTTCAAAGGCATCATGGCCTTCCCTGTGGAGCACAGATAGAGGTCAGGGATCACAGGTGGCCCTGCAACTCTCCCAGCCCCAAAGAACATTCCACCTGCACCCACCGGAAGCAGCGGACACAGTAGAGGTCTCCGTCACAGCTAGCACAGCGCAGGGTGGCATCCTCATTGCAGATGCAGCACCAGGGAAGCTCCTCTTCCTCAGCCTCAGGCCTGGCGGCCACGGCCTGAACATTTGGAGAGCAGGGAGGAATGGGGGACATAAGGTACCCGATGGGGTCTGGGAGGGCGGCTGGAGGAACAGTCGGCCAGGCAGGGAGGGTGGCTGTGGTGGCGGCCCGGGGGTCTGTGTCTGGGGTTTTCCTCACCTCAGGCTCTGCCCTGCAGGATTGGGCTTGGGGTCGGAGAGCTGGCTCTGCAGGGATGTTAAAGCCACTTGCCTCATCCAGGGCAGCTTCTTCAGTGAGCTGTGGACAGGGCGAAGAGGTACAGCTCCCCACTCCAGGCAGCCCCGCCAACACACAGTATTTCTGCGCTCTGTGGCCTTAGCTCTCAACCCATCTTCCTTTATGTTGTCTGTGGCTGCTGAGACCCCATCTCAAGGGCCCAGGGGCAGGTCTGTGTCACAGGGGCAGGGGGGCCTAGCTAGAACAGGAGCTGCACAGTGACTAGCCATCGAGCCCCAGAGCAGAGGCAGAGTGAATGGGGTCAGGTGAGTGGTGGGGCAGTGTGGCAGGGACAGGACAAGGGGTGGTCGGGTGGGTAAGGCGGGGCCGACCTGCTGAAGGACTCTCTGGATGGCTGTCTCCTCATCCTCTTCGTCATCACTGTCTGGAAGGCGGTAGTCCTGTAGGGTCACTTGAAGAGGGAGAGACGGGAGCAGGGGAAGAGGAGTGAGGTTGAGAGCTCACCTGAGTGGCTGTACTTCTGCCCCCAGCAGAGGTTTGGTTTCCAGTGGCACGTGTTCCAGAACTGAGCAGCCTTTGCAGCCATTCTGATCAGACCCTGCCCCACCATGCTGGGCTGGAGGGCATGAACAGAAGGCTCCGTACCTGAAGGGACCCAGGGTCCCCTGCCCCCTGATGGCTGCCACTTGTTCCTCATCCACTGCTTTGCCCCAGCACCTTCCTCGTGGTTCTGGGTGGAGCTTGATAGACCCCTGGGCACAGGGACCCCCAGCCCCTGACTCAGCCTGGCAGGGAGTACAGCCACTGTGCAGTTTGGCCTGAGGGTGAGAGTGGGGAGGACTGCCCAGTGGACATGAATGAGTGGCTGCTCCCCAGCCTCTACCTCTATTGGGGTCGCGTCCCTGCAGCACGGCTAGGCGCTTGGCGAGGGCCAGGATCCGCTCCTGCCTTGTGTTCTCCTCCCGAAGCGTGACTGCTGCCTCAGCCAGCAGCCTCCTCTTCTCCTCCTCCAGGGACCAGGTGGCCTGTCCCTTGCAGCTGGTGCTCTGGGCCCCTGGGTCCCCCCGGTTGAGGTCATTCTGGATAGAGGCGGCTGGAAAGAGTGATGCATTCAGGGAGGCAGACATTTCAGGATCTCTCATCAGAAACCACTGAGCCCGTTTCTCAACGTTTTAAAAAAAACACAGATTGGGCTTCCCTGGTGGTGCAGTGGTTGAGAGTCCGCCTGCCGATGCAGGGGACACGGGTTCGTGTCCCGGTCTGGGAAGATCCCACATGCCGCGGAGCGGCTGGGCCCATGCGCCATGGCTGCTGAGCCTGCACGTCCGGAGCCTGTGCTCCGCAACGGGAGAGGCCACAACAGTGAGAGGCCCGCGTACCGAAAAAAAAAAAACAAACCCACAGATTATCAGCTTTTTGTTCAACAATAGCTCCTGTGGTTTATTTCCTCCATTATCCCAAATGTAAAAAACTAGTAATCTTAGACATTTCTTTTTCAATTATATCCATCCCACCTACCTGATATTTTAACATGCTGCCCTTAGGGTGGTTGCCCCATGGTATGAGAATCACTGCCCAAAAGGAGCAGGATATGGGGAGGTCAAGGTCCAGCCAGGCTCTCTGCCTTACAGGCTGGAATCAGCATTTCTAGGGAGCAGCGCAGAGAGGACATGAGGGAAGCTGAGGTCTTGAACGTCACTAGGCAGGAAGAATTTTACCAGAGTGGGTGTGGCTCTGACATGGTCCCCTTTAGCTCAGAGTTTCAGAGTAAGATGTTTGAAGTCAGTCAGCTTTGGGTTCAAGTCCCAGCTTTGCTACTTAATAGCTGTGTGACCTTGGTCAAGTTCCTTAAGCTCACCAGGCCTCAGTTTCCTCATTTATCAAATACGGATAATAACAGTTATTATAGGATTACTGAGGCTATTCAGTGAGATTGTATCTCTAAAGCAGGGTTTCTTAATCTTGGTTCTATTGACATTTTGGACAGGATACTGGCATACCTTGTTTTATTGAGCTTCGGTTTATTGCGCTTCACAGACACTGCCTTTTTTTTTTTTTTTTTACAAATTGAAGGTTTGTGGCAGCCCTATGTTGTCAGATGATGGTTAGCAATTTTGAGCAATAAAATATTTTTAAATTAAGGTATGTACATTGTTTTTCTAAACATGCTATTGTACACTTAATAGACTACAGTATCGTGTACATAATTTTTACACACACCAGGAAACCAAAAAATTTGTGTGACTCACTTTATTGCAGTGGTATTCAACTGAACCTGCAATATCTCTGAGGCCTGCCTCTAATTCTTTGTTGCGGGGTTGTCCTGTGTATGTACGATGTTTAGCAGCATCCTTAGCCTCTGCTCACTAGATGCCAGTGGTACCCTATGAGTTGTGACACCCAAAAAGTCTGCAGATGTTGCCAAATGGGCCCTGGAGGGAAAATCATCCATGGTTGAGAACCACTGCTCTGAAGCTTTTGAACAGCAGTGTCCAAAAGAATTTTTTAAGATGATGGGATCATTCCATATCATGTCTGTATTTGTGCCGTCCAAGATTGTAGCCACGAGCCACTTGTGGCTACGGAGCACTTGAAATGTGGCTGGTACCACTGAGGAACTGAATTTAAATTGTATTTAATTTCAACTAAACGTAAATAGCCTCTTCCTCCTCTTTATCATCGTCATCATCGTTGTAGAGAACATTCACTAAGCATTTACTATGAGCCAGGCAGGGTCCTAAGCACTACTGGATTAGCTCATTTCCTCCTCATGACTTCCCTGTGAGGTAGGTCTTACCACACATTCCTCCATTTTACAGATGAGGAAAGTGAGACTTAGGTCAAGTAACGTGCCGAGGGTCACACAGCTAGTAAGTGGTAGAAAAGGGAATCACTGTCTGAGCCTAAAGCCCACATGCTTATCCACTAGGCCTACACTGGCTCCCACTGGAGTAAACACTCAATAAATGGTAGCCTTTGTAATGTTGACTATTCTCTGATTGATGTTCACCTCCCAGAGCGTGGGCAGCAGAGCCTCTCCCACCTGGGGAAAGAGTCAGGGCAGATCCCTGGGGGAGCTAGGTGGAGAAGATACCTGGGCCTCCTCGTTCCCAGCTCTCATCAATAGCCACCTCCGCTGCTAGCTCTGTCAGCAGATCCTGTGCCTGCTGGGCCTGGGTCCTGGTGTCTGGTGGCTGATGTGCCTGCTCAGAGGAGGGAACCTCAGTGGGGAGCAGCGTAGGCAGGAAGCCACACCATAAGGCTCAGAACAGTTTTAGGTCAGGGGTGGATGCTGAGGAGTTCCCAAAGCTCAGGGAAAGGGGACAATTCCAGAGCCCACATAATCAAGTAGGTCTGGCAGTCCCCAGCAGGACCAAGGGGCCACTCTTTCCTGCCCCACCCAATCCTGCTGCCTGTCCCTGGTTCCTTGGTCTGGCAGCAGGCCTCAGGAGCAGGAGGTACTCCTGCAAAGTATCTAAGCATACACGTATCTGGGCTTCTACTGGGTCCTCGTCCCAGGGCCTCCATCCCTCCAAAGCCACAGCACTCACCAGCTGGGGGGTCTGAGAAGGTGGAACTCTGCCCTGCAGTGAAGCAAGCCGTGCCTCCATCTCCTGGGTGGAAGGGATGGAACCCTGGGGTGCATCCCTCAGTGCAACTAGCCTGGCTTCTATCTCTGCCTGCGAGGGCACTGACTCTGCAATTGGCATAGAGAAGCCTTGTAAGATCCAGAGGAATCCTAGTCCCACGAGCCCTGAATAGTGTCTTTTCCACCCTGTCTGCCCCCACTCACTGGGCTTGTTCTCCTGGCGGAGCCGTGCTAGGCGCTCAGCAATGACTTGGTCTTGCTGGGTCAGTCCATGGCTCTGGGGAGTGTTGGGCTTCTGCTTGGCTTCCAAGGCTGCCACACGCCTGGCAGGATATGAGATAGAGGCTCTTAAAGAATGCAGAAGGGAGGGGTGAAGGCACTCACTGTTTCCCATTCAAATCATTTCTAGGCAGCTAGGGAGGCCTCCAACAGACAATTTTCTGTGGCGCTTGCTCCTGTCACCCTGCAGCCCAACCCAGCTGACCGACGGGAGAGTCCAGATGAGAGGGTGAGGTCTACCAAGAATCTTTTCTGGGGAAAGGACTGGTGAGCTGCTTTCTAAGCCCAAGAGGGCAGTCAGGAGCCTGAAAGGTAGATATTTTCCTGATCCTGTGCTCATTTGATCTGTAGGCTGGGAAGAGACTCCTACCCTATGGCTCCCTTGTCCTTTCCCCATCCCCATTTGTCTCTGTCCCTTCAGCACTTACTTTTTATAGTTCTGAGGTGGTGACCACTTGGAGGCATTGGCAGGAGCAGATCCTCTATAGAGAAGAAATCTGGTGTCAGAAGTCACCTGCCATCTGCCTGTCAGTGTCCCCCACCCCAAACACTTCCTGGGCTGACCTCTAGACATAGAGCACAAGGCTGTGAGGCCTGGCCATCTGCCTGCTGCCATGCTTGGCTGAACCCTCGACCATATTGGCTTCTCACCTGGTCAGAACCTCATGGCACTGCTTGCAGACTTTCTGTTGGGTGTTTCCAGCCCGGGGAACCGCTGCACTGAAGCTAAGGCAGCCGGAACAGAAGGCCCGGCCACAGTTCTTACAGCCGTACTACAAGAAACATGAAGCAAGGGGTCTACCTCTCACCTGCCCCTGCAGGCTCCTCCCTGGGACTCTCCAAACACACACAGAGAGCAGACACTGGAGTTGTGACCAGCTGCTGGGAGGAGGATGAGGAGTGGGGCCCCTAAGGACTGGGGAGAGACAGGGGTGGAGGGTAAAGCGATTCCTCAGTCTCCAGTATTCTATTCAAATCTCGAAAGCTTCATGCAAAATTCCCATGCTTTCTACTCTGTCTTCAATTCCCTGACACTGGAGTGTAAAAGACAAATAGGCAAAGCCCCATGCTTCAGGTCACTGACTCTTCAAAAAGGAGAAACAGTGCAGAGCCCATGCCTTCTCTGCTCTGGCAGAGATGAAAGGAGGCTTGACTCAGAATGGGATGGTAACAGTAGCAGCCTCCATTTATTAAGCATTTACTGTGTGCCAGGCACTAAACTCAGTACTTAACTTTCACCACCTGATTTAATCCTCACAATTTATACACACTATCTTACTTATTCCTGATGACCACCATTATTATTCCTATTTTAAACGGGGTCAGAGAGGTTACACGACTTGCCCAAATCAAGGTCACCCCATGAATGACAGCAGAGCTCAAATTTGGATCCTGACCACTTTGACTCCAAAACCCAGGTTTCTGAGTGCTACATGGATCTGCTTCCCTACCTGCTATTCATTCATCATATCTGGTTCCTATCTCCTGGTCACAACTGAGGCTGAGGAAGCCTGCAGTTTACCAGGGAAACTTGGCAGGTCTGGCCTGAGGACAAGTGAGACTTTGCCATGGTGCCCTGGGGCAGGAGAAAGGGCAGTAATCTAACTCAAGAAACCGGGGAAGGGCTTGCTGGTGACGGTTTCAGAGCAGAGAGAGCAAAGGGCATGGTGTGATGGAGAGTAGGCTGTGGAGAAGCAGGGTGGAGGGAAGGAAACAGCCGGATCCTACACTTGGCAGACAGAAAAGCCTAGATTTCCAAAAATGACAGGAGCCCAATTTACAGTTTATGGGGAACTCTCACCTCCAGCACCTCACTGGACCCTCACACCAACCCCGAAAGCAAGGGAGTGTTAGCCCCACTTTATAGAAATGGAAACTGAGGCTCAGTGACTTCATCAAAACCACACACCTGGAGAGGGCCCGTAAAAACAAGCCTGCGAACTGCAAGTCCTGTGCATTTCCCTCTACTCCGCGCCCTCCCTAGCCCTCTAGCCCCCGGGGAGAGAAGACTCGCCTCCTTCTTGAAGAGGGTGAACTTGACAGCGCAGCCGTAGCACCTATTCTCCATCGTGGTTGCCGGCACGGCGCGGCAAGGTCGGCGGAGCTGAGCTCCTGCGGCTCATATCCGGGACCCCGTGCACCCTCACCCAACCCCGCCGTTACTCTCCACGCCCACTCGCGCGAGCCAACCAAGACCTCCGACAGGAGAATCACTACGGTCACCTCAGCCCGAGAGCATCAGCGGCGGACGCGAGGGCTGTTGGGAGTCGTAGTTCATTCACTAGTGCCCGCTTCCCTCAGAGGCAGTCAAGCCTAGTTCAGATCACGACATTTCCCAGGAGGCTAAGCGCCTTCCTCAGGCTTGGGGGGGTCGATAGTCCCCGGGAATCCCCACACGCTTAGGCTCTTGGGAGTTGTGGTACTAATCCAGTCAGGGTTGGAACCATGGCGGTGACCAAGGACCTCTTACAGATGGACCTGTACGCGTTATTAGGTATCGAGGAGAAGGCGACGGACAAAGAGGTGAGAACTGGGGCGAGGAGGGCCGATCCCGAGCGACCTGGCGGGCTTTCCCGTCTTGGCGCCTCGCCCGAGGCTGGCACCACCAGCTTTCCACGTTCGGCCGGGCCCTGAGTGGGGAGCGAGGGGCGGCCCGACGGCCTCAGGTGGGTTCCCAGACCTTTCCTGAATGGTCTGAGGGCCTCACGAGGAAGAGGGGGCACGAGAGGGAGGCTCCTAGCGCGGGGAACTGTACTGTGCTCTCCCCGTGGCCCTTGCCTAGAAGGGGCCGCGGGTGAGTCTGTGACAGACAACCCTAGCCTACTTCCTGCGCCTGCGCAGTGTCAGCCTTCGATTCCGCATCTATCTAAACTGTGGCAGGGGGAGCTTCATTGTCTCTCTCTTGCTGGCTGATTTAACTCTGCTTAGAGCCTAGGGCCGAAGAAAGGCCAGGTCTCAAGGCTCCTCCATTCCTTTTTCATACCCTCCGTGGCAGTGTGACCTATGACTCTGCCATCTCTATTTTCTTTTTACATCCCAGCCCTTTGACTCTTTTCAAGTAGCAGATGCTCAGGTGTTGCCCTCTCACCATGTGCTAGTGGGCCAAAAGCAGGAGGATCAGAAGGATAAGGCAGATGACCTAGAGTTTCACGGGAAGGCGTTGATAGATGTGTCAGGGAGTGGGACACTGATCAAGCTGTAATTAAGATTTATGTTACTTTCCCCTGGATTATGGTGGTAGCTGTAGCAGTGTAGGAAGGGGAGGCAGATAAGTCACCAGATGGAAATTAATGCCTGCAGATGCCCCTGTACCTCCAGGCTGCTCTGCTCATCGGCAGAGCTTGTGAGAAGAGGAAGCTCTGGGGCAGAAAAGCAGGGAGACCCATAGGACCCTTGAGGAGGGATACTGTCAGCCTGTACAGAACTGTTCCCTGCAGCTGCAGCTGAAATCAGAAGTGGGCCATGGGGATGTATACACAGCACCAAAAGCATCTGTTACACCTATCTCATAAGTCTTAAATTTTCACTATTAATAATGCCTAACACCTATATAATACTATGTGCTGGACACTATTCTAAGTGTTCTACATTTGTAAATTGTTTAATTAGTACTTCGTTAATAGTGAGAAATTACTTTGGACACTTCACACCAGATCTAGCCAGTGTGTTGGAACCTCGAAGTTGAGAACTCCTGAGGAAGGCAATTAAGAGCCACTGATGTATATATTAATCAGAGAAGTGACATAATCAGATTTTAAAGAAAATATTCAACATCAGTGTGCAGAAAGGACACAAGTAGGGGGTGGGTAGAGGAGCTGCCACTAGGGGGTCAGGTGGGGCTGTTGTCTAGGCAAGAGGCCAAGGTCTAAGCAGCACAGTGAGGTTGGGATTCAGTTTTCACTCAGGTGAGATAAGGGATAGGTGAGACGACTTTTTTAAGGGATAGGTGAGACGACTTTTTTTTAAAGAATTTTAAAATTATTTATTTATTTATTTATTTATTTTGGCTGCGTTGGGTCTTTTGAGTTGTGGTGGCACGCGAGGTCTTCGTTGAGGCATGTGGGATCTTTCTTTGAGGCGCGTGGGCTTTCTCTCTAGTTGTGGTGTGCGGCTTTTCTCTCTAGTTGTGGCGCGCGGGCTTTCTCTCTAGTTGTGGCGCGCGGGCTTTCTCTCTAGTTGTGGTGTTCAGGTTTTCTCTCTCTAGTTGTGGTGCGTGGGGTCCAGAGCGCATGGGCTCTGTAGTTGCAACTTGTTGAGGTGCGCGAGCTCAGTAGTCGTGATGTGCGGGCTTTGCTGCCCTGCGGCATATGGGATCTTAGTTCCCTGACCAGGGGTCGAACCTGTGCCCCTTGCATTGGAAGGCGGATTTTTTACCACTGGACCACCGGGGAAGTCCCCTGGAATCATTCTTGATACCTCCCTATCCTCTCACTCTTGCATCTAGTCCATCACCAGGTCCTAATGAATTCACTTCTCAAATAATCTCCAAACATGTTCATTAATCTCCATCTCCACCACCACCGCTCCAGCCCAAGTGCCCATCAACTTCCATCTGAATGATTAGAGTGGCCTGCCAACTCATTTCCCTGCTTCCAGTCTATTCTATTACACTCTGTTGCACTCCTCCAATTTGTTCTACTCACGGAAAATGGAATAATCTTGGTGCTCCTTTAAAACCCTATTGCACTTTTAATAAAACATGCAATAGAATTTCTTACCCCTTCTTACATGCTTTTCCCTCTGCCGAGAACACTCTTTCTCCCCTTCTGTTAACCTGGGTTGCTTTTACTTGGCTTTCAGAACTCAGCTTAAATGGCACTTCCTCAGAGAGGCCTTGCCTATTGTACTTTCATAGCAGCCACTTCTCCTTTCCAGCACTTATATCAGTTTGCAAGCATATATTCATTTGTGTGATTATTTATCTCATGCCTTACTCCCCTCTGTACTCTTAGCTCTGAGGAGCAGGTCTGGTCCATTCACTTCTGTAGCATCCCCTTCCTGGTAACTGGCACAGAGTAGGCTCTCAATAAATATTTGTTGAATGAAGGAAGTAGCAGCTAAGAGCCCACTGGAACAACTTGGCTTGAGAATCAGGAGATCTGGGGCCTCATTCAGAGCCTGACTTTCCTCAAATGTAAAACGAGGGAGTTGGGCAAACTATGACTTCAGGGGTCAAATGGCCCATGACCTGGTTTTTAATGAGCCATGAGCTGAGAATGGTTTTTCATGTTAAAACGATTGTAAAAAAAACAACCACAACTCAACAACAAAAAACCGAATAACTCAATTAAAAAATAGGCAAAGGACTTGAATAGACATTTCTTCAAAGAAGATATATAAATGACCAATAAATACATGAAAAGACATTCAGTACCACTGGTCATTAGATAAATGCAAATGAAAACCACAGTGAGATACCACTTCATACTCATTAGGATGGCTATTAAAGAAAAACAAAAACAGAAAGTTACTAGTGTTGGTGAGGATGTGGAGAAATTAGAACCCTTGTACATTGCTTGTAGTGCAGCTGCTGTGGAAAACAGTATGACAATTCCTCAAAAAATTAAACATAGAATTACAATATGATCCAGCAATTTCACTTCTGGGTATATACCCCAAAGAAATGAAAGTAGGGACTCAAACAGATATTTGTTTTTTATTTATTTTATTTACTTTAGGCTGTGTTGGGTCTTCATTGCTGCACGCGGGCTTTCTCTAGTTGTGGAGAGCGGGGGCTACTGTTTGCTGTGGTGTGTGGACTTCTCACCGCGGTGGCTTCTCTTGTTGCGGAGCACGGGCTCTAGGCACGCAGGCTCAGTAGTTGTGGTTCGCGGGCTCTGGAGCACAGGCTCAGTAGTTGTGGCGCATGGGCTTAGTTGCTCTGCGGCATGTGGGATCTTCCCGGGCCAGGGATCAAACCTGTGTCCCCTGCATTGGCAAGCGAATTCTTAACCACTGTACCACCAGGGAAGTCCCTCAAACATATTTGTACACCCATGTTCATAGTGGCATAATTCACAATAGCCAAAAGGTGGGAGCAGCCAAAGTGGCCATCAACAAATGAATGGTTAAACAAAATGTGGTATATACATACAATGGAATATTATTCATCCTTGAAAAGGAAGGACATTCTGACACATGCTACAATATGGATGAAACTTGAGGGTATGATGTTGAGTGAAATAAGCTAGTCACAAATGGACAAATATTATATGGTTCCTCTTGTACAAGATTCCTAAGAGTAGTCAGATGCACAAAGTAGAATGGTAGTTTCCGGGGGCAGGAGAGTGAATGTGGAATGAGGAGTTAGTGTTTAAATGGTACAGAGTTTCAGCTTTACAAGATGAAAAAAGTCCTGGAGACTTATGGCGGTAATGGTTGCACAATATTAATGTACTTAATGTCATAGAACTATACACTTAAAAACGGTTAAAATGGTAACTTTTATGTTAATATATATTTTATTTTATATATGTTTTACAGTAAAAACAACCAACCAAAACAGAATAAAAACAAAGAAGAACATATGTCACGGGAATTTAGAGAGTCAGCAAGTCCCAAAGGTAGATGTTTTTGTTCCCCATCCAGCCCTAAGGGAGACAGGTGGGGCAAGGTATCATTTTCTTGTAGGAAAGCTTTGAGTTGAGGACCCAGGTTTGGTGTGGAAGTTCTCCGGGGGAGAGGATAACGCCCCAGGAATCCAATCTCCTCCTAGAATCCCAGGCAGTAAGCCCCAGGTTCTTATGTGCTAATGCACATGTGCCTGTGTGCGTGTATGTGCGCACACACACAGGACAGGGCCGGGCCCTAGAGCCTGCCAAGATGAAGAGTAGGTCATGGATTAATGCCACTTGCAAACCTTGAAGAGATTCTGAATTAATCTCAGGGATTATTTAGGTGACTGCAATGGCCTTCTAATCCTTTTCCTAGTTCTGTTCTTGCCCCCTTGAGCCTCTTCGCACAGCAGCCAGAGTGAGCCTTTAGATGGTAAATCAGATTGTGTTACCTCTGCTCCCAGCTCCCCAGGGGCTTCTCATCAGTGTTAGAATGAAGCCTGAAGGCCCTCCCTGGCCCTTGAGGCCCTCAATGCCTCTCTTGCATGTTCCCTACCACTCTTCCCTTACTCACCGGGCTCCAGCCACATCAGTCCTATAATTTTTTTTAATTGTGGTGAAATATACATAACATGAAATTTTCCATTTAAACCTTTTTTTTAGTGTACAATTCAGTGGCATTAAGTACATTTACATTGATATGCAACCATCACCACTATCCGTCTCCAGAACTTTTCCATCATCCCAAACTGAAGTTCCATAACTTTAAACGTTAACTCCCAATTCTCTTCTCCCCTCAGCCCCTGGTAACTACTATTTTACCTTTCTTCTCTATGAACTTGACTATTTTATGTACCTCATACAACATGCAAATATATAGTATTTGTTTTTTTATATCTGGCTTATTTCACTTAATGTAATGTTTTCAGGTTTCATCCATTTTGTTGAATGGATCAGAATTTCCTTCCT